TGTCTGCTCGTCGTCTCCAGACTCCGCCACAGGCACCTTTTTTTTTTTTTTAAATATTATTCATTTTAATGAACATTTACAGAGATTTTGGATTTCCCTCCATTCATTATTGCACTGCACCTTCTCCAAGACTTACCTGTTTGTTCTTTTGGCCGTCCATGGGAAATTGCGTACACCAGAGCTCAAAGGCATCAATACTTCTGTCATCCTTGTTCACTGTCCAGCTCTCAGATGCAAGTCATTGAAAAGACCATGGCCCAATTCAAGTGCACCTTCATCCTCAAACTGATGACATTACTCTTCAGTAATTTGGAGAGAACCCTGACTGCAGTGTTTCTCAGTACAACATCTCCTGACTCTGATTCCAGGGATGTTGATTATGGATTCAAGTTAGAAGGAAATCCCTGACAATTTAATCTTTTCTCCATTTATCATGTTGTTGCCTAATGGCCCAGTTTTGAGAATTTTTGATTTCTTAATGTTGAGATGCAGGGTGCTCTGGTGGCCTAGTGGCAAGAAACTGCGCTGCAATCCTGCCTGAAGCTGAGGGGTTCATAACCACTAGATGCCCCACTGGAGGAGGAGGAGCAAATTCCTCCTGTACTAGTTGGATCAGATTAGACAGTACACAACAAGGGAAAAAAAATTTTAAAAAAAAAGTTGAGATGCAATCTCAATCTATATTAAAGACTGTATTCTTAGGTCCCCTTCACTTTCAGCAAGCAGGGTTCTGTTATCTGCATAAAGTAGGTTATTGATGAGTCTTCCAAACCTGATGCAGTTCTGGAATAACTTAGTTTACAGACTGAATAGGTATGGAGAGGATATACACCTTGATGCCCAGCTTTCTTAATTTTAAACCATGCAGTGTTCCCTTGCTCCACTCACACGTCCTCCTCTTGGTCTAGGTCTTACATGAGCCCGACTTTGTGTTCTGGGGGTCCTGTTTTCAATGTTAGCCATAATTTATGATCCACACATTCAGATATTTTTGCAGTCGATCAAGCACAAATAGCCATTCTTCTGGTATTGCTTTTAGTCAGGATCTACCTGACATCATCAGTGATAGCCCTTGTGCCATGCATGGCCTCTTCTAAATCCAGTTTGAATGTCTGGCAGTTCTCTTTGTACTGTTCTGGCCTTTTATGAATGATCTTCAGTATTTTGCTTGCAGGTGACATTATATAGTTTGATAAATTCCCCATTCATCATTCTTGGGAATAAATAATGGATCTCTTCCAGTCAGTCAGCTATCCTCCAAAATTTCCTAGCATAGACTGGTGCACATGTCCAGGGCTGTACCTGGTAGTTATGTCTGTTGGGATGCTGCATATTCTTGGGGCCTTATTTTTGTGCCAATGCCTTCAGTGCATCCTCAACTTCTTTTATTACTATTGGCTCTTGATCATACGGCTTCCTGAAATATTCCCATGTTGGCCTGTTCTTTTTGGTACAGAGATACTGTATATTCCTGTTCCTTCCATCTTTACATAGTTAGCAACACAGTATTACTGAGTGAAGCAGTCTGCCCTTTTCTACTAAACTTAAGTTGGCAGTCTGAACTACCTTGGCTATTCTGTGAAGAAAAAAAAATCACTTGAACTGCTTTTATGAAGATAATAGCCAAGAAAAGCCTGTGAAGCCATTTTACGCTGCTCTGATTTGAAATCACCTAGTTTGATGTTAGAACTGGCAGAGGGTTTGGTTTCATTTTTTTTTCGTTGCTGAGTACCGCTGAGTCAGAACTGAGGCTTCACCAGGTTTGTAGGGGCAGTAAATTGCCCCGATTTCTCCTGCAGAGCAGCTGGTGGATATGAACTGTGTCCCTTTGGGTTGACAGTGCAACTCCTTACCTCTGAGCCATCAGAGCTCCTTTCATTAGATTAGTACAGTGTCTAAAGCCGGGAGTTCTGTGGGGCATCAGCATAGCTAATGCAAAGGCGGTGACTTTCTGGAGTTTGAGAGTCCACCAGTGTCTCCAGGGGAGAGAGAAAGGCAGTCTCCTCCTGTGTGACTTAGAGCCTTGGAAAACCTGCTGGAGGGTCAGCTATGAGTTGGTTCAGACTGGACGGGTCGGTGAGTGAGTGTTTAAAGCAAGGATTTCTCTCAGTACTCAAGCTTTCTCCATCTAACAAATGGGTGGTATATAGGAGTGATGGTTACATGTATTAACCCAATGAATGTATTTTAAAAAGCACTTGGCATATAGAAAATAGTTAAACGTTATTATTAATGCGTATTAAGTGTCTTTTAAAATAGGCTTTAGTTAGGAAATGCAGATGGTATAAAGACAATGTTCTATTTTAAGTTTTTCTGTTCTAAGAGATTTTCTGTTAGAATAATAATTCTGGATAAATTCAGTAGAAGGAACAGTAAACTAATGAAACACATAAAGTCACTTATAGAGTTGAGAGGTTGTCATATTTACTTATTTGCCCTCTTTTAGTACAGTTACCTGAAGTTACTATAAATGAAGAAACTGCCTTAGCAGAAGTTAATTTAAAGAAGAAAAGTCATTTGAATATTAGAAACTACCCAGTTGCAACTTCTTTTGCCATATTTGATGAGTAAGTTAATTAAACGAGTAAAAAAATTCTTTATTTAAATGCCAATGTATTGTTAATGTGCTGACTTTTCACCCTGGCTTTTTGTGGACCCCCATGTTTACAGCCACAGCCCCTGCACAGTTCTGCTAGAATCCCAATTTGCAGGATGAGCTCAATGCTCACCATACCTCCCTTCTCGCTTTACCTATTCCATACTCATTTTCAGTTCTTTCACTAGAGATTTAACTAAGGATACCTTCTGTATGTGTCTGCTAAGGATTTTAATGTATCCGTGAATGGCTGGGCAAACATTCTGAAAAGCAGTAGAGTTTCAAGTCATTATTAATTTTCCTGGCTTCTTGCTAGCTAGCTCTCTTTTCACTTTTGTTGTCTTACATTAATACCTGAGCTGAAATGCAAGTACTAAGTTCAGCTGTCTGTTTAAACAGTAGTTTCATGGGTAAGTTTTTTCTCTCTTCCCAAACAGCACTTTACTGATCGTTGACCCGACTGGAGAAGAGGAACACCTGGCAACCGGAACCTTAACGATAGTGATGGACGAGGGCGGCCGGCTGTGCTGCCTTCACAAACCAGGCAAGTTCTGTTTCACTCCTAGGTGTATGGTGATGAAAACTGGGCGTGAGCTGCTTTCTCATTTGTTGTGCCACTGAGTCGCTTGCGACTCATAGCGACCCTATGTACAAGAGCCCAAAACCCTCCTCTCTCCTGTGCCAACCTCACTTATCTCCAACACACTCACTCCCACTTCCCCAATCACTGAATTGATTCATCTCATCAAGGCTCTTCCTCTCCTGCGCTGTCCCACCACCCTCCCAAAGCATGATGTCCCTCTCCAAGGACGGGACTCTCCCTGCAACATGCCCAAAGTATATCAGATGGAGTTTCAGAATCCTTGTCTCCAAGGAGGAGACCGGTTTCACCCTCACCAGGATGAACTTGTTTGTTCTCTAAGCAGTCCATGGTATATTCAACACTCTTCTCAAGCACTCAGCTCTAAGGCGTCAATTCTCCTATCATCCCTAGTCACTGTCCAGCTCTCCGATGCATAGCACGTAATTGCAAAGACTATGTATGGCCTGGATCAGGAACACCTTTCTCCAGCCGGACTCGTTGCTCTTCACAGGGAAGACCAAATGTACTGTTAGTTTCTTTGCTACCTCAAATTCCTTACTTTTAAAGTATTTGTCAGTGGTTCTTAAACTTTAGGGACATGCATCAGTCTAAATAATAAGAACTTGCATTTCTAAAAAGTTCCCAGATGATTTTGATGTTACATGGCTATACACAGTCTATTTTAAAAATAACATGACATGTTCAGTGTTGGTATAATTATTTTTCAGGTGGAAGCGGGCTGACTGGCACTAAACTTCAGGACTGTATGAGTAGAGCAGTTACAAGACACAAAGAAGTGAAAAAACTGATGGATGAAGTAATTCACAGCATGAAACCCAAATAAACTACTTTTTCAATGCAGATTTGTAAAAACTATTTGTTACCATTGTGCACAGACCTTTTATATTAGATAAATATGAAATTACTTTTTCTGAAAAAGTTGTTTCTAGCATTTCTTGGGCCACTTCTGTATAAATTGTGTACAGTGACACTTTAAGAAAGCAATCAGGCTCACTGGTTAAATCATTTCTCTGTTTTATTTAAAAACCATAGGGTTGTGCTTCTGTATAAAGTCTGTACATCTAGCAATGTAAAATACTGACACATTAAAAAACCAAAACAAAAATTAAGTAAAAACTCAGAATCTTTGATTCAATGCTCTAGTCTTTTCAAAGAGAAAAAAATAAATAATGTCAGAGTCAGAATTTTGGAGTGGTTGGCGTGCCTCTCTTCATCTTACTTTTTGACTGGCTGCCTGAATGCCGACGATGATGGAGCTGAGCTGTTTGTGCCGCCGCTGCTGCCATAGCCATTTGATGCTGCAAGAATCGCAACTGCTGCCGAAAGGAGGGGAGAAGAGGCAGGTTAACTGCGGGCAGGGATGGAGGATGCGTCCTGCGCAGGGTGAGAAAAGGCACTGAGATAGCAAAGGGATTTGGTAACGCACTGAGACAGCGTCGTTGGGCGGCCCCAGCGGCAGAGGCCTGCCGAGGGCTGAGGGGGAGCTTTTAGAAATTCTCGGTTACTGTGCCCTGCCTCTCTACCATGCAGTAACTCAGCAACTTCAGTTAACCATTTGTATGATGATAGTTTAAAGCAATATAAAAGCACCCTAAATACAGAATTTCCCTAAAACTATGCTTCCAAAAAATAACGGAGTAACATTTTCTAAATTAACAGAGATGACATTTACTAGTAAGAACACTGGTATACATGCCTTTTTGCTGCACTACAATTAAAAGTTAACAAATGGCACTTAGAACAGTCTTTATTTCAAAATATATCAGAAACCAGAAAAACTTATTTGGCAGTGTGCCACCAGTACGTCATGAGTGCTTTTACACAAAGATCATGGCTTAAATGGACAAAATAGATTCAGTGTTCCAAGCTGATTCACTCAAATACCAGACTTTCAAATAAAGTTTGCTAAATTATTTACCAATTTACAGTTTAGTTTTAAAAGTAAAATAAAACTTAAGCACGGTATATACTGAGGTACTTTTGGAGCTGACTATTTGATCTTAAGACAGGTATCAGAGTGAAGTTGCTGGATTACTTGGATCTGTTGCTGCTGCTCTTGAAAGGTAGAAGAGAGCTGGAGTCTCTGCTGAGGAAGGCTTTGCTCTGGTCTGTTGTCGGCAGAGCCAAGCTGAGACAACACTACAGAGAGGAGAAGGGGAGAGCAGCCAGTCAAACAGGGACCAGACGAGAAAAGGACAACAAAGGAAAAGAGACAGCAGGAAAGTCAGCAGGATGATGACGCTTAAGTAACCGACTAGACATTTCAGAGACGTCTAGGCTCCTGTGAGTTGGAGGGTAGGTACACCATGATCCTGGAACTTCCCGGACAGGGCAAGCAGGAGTGTATTCAGGTACCAAAGCCCCGCATTCCTCTCAGGGGCATAAAAGGAATTCTATACTAGTGCTGTTTGCCTAGAAAACCCCCATCCTCCAATGTAAGAGGTTATTTTAAAATGTAATAACTGATTAAGTGGGAGGAGGATATTGGTGACACCTACATGACAAAACTGGAAACAGATGAGAGCTTTATACAAAAGCTATTGCAATGAGCGTGTGACAACATTAACAAAGGCTGTGTACTAAGACTTTGTTGTTTTTTCAGCCAAGTGGGACTTTATGAATCAGTTCAACTCCTTGTACAGATGAGGGATTTTTAAAGCTTGCATGATCTGAAGAAAAGCTACCCCACCAATTAATGGCCGCTCAGACCCAGGCACATTCTCAATCATTTTTCAGTGTTAGAGTTCTTTTCACTAAGTGATACTACAGCTCTTTTAGACAATTTATAACTTGCACAGTGAAGGTATCGAATGAATTTTCACTTTGAAGTTCATAAAATTATGATGGATATTGTGCTGTTAAGTTTGACTTCTAAGGGTAGAGACAGTATTGTAAGGAATCACCAAGCCTACACAATTAACTTGAAATACTGACATGTTCACGTATTCAGTCTTCAAATTCCATCACAGCTTCCTTATACACGGGCTTACTGATTTTAACTGGTCTTTACTTGACAAGATAATCTTCATTTTAAAATTGTTTCACATTTACTGCTAGAGGTGGTGAACACTTATTTAATTATTTTTTTCAAATGATAAAAGTGCCTAGCAGAAGACAGGCTAGTAACCATTATGATTTTTTTCAGCCTACCAGGGTGAGACAAGAGATTATTCAGTCTAGAAAAATATAGTCTCAAAGACCTGAAAAACCGAAGAGTGAAATAAGCATATGGGCAAATATTGAAACATTCTGGGATCCTCCTAGGAGAAATTGTGTGTGAAACTGGGGCTATCAGCTAACATGAGGAAAGGTGTCCAAGTGCACGTAATAAATGTCATCAAAGCTCTTCATCAACAGCCAAAGAAATTAAAAAAATAAATAAATTCAGTGGGTCATCAACACATCAACAGTGGATATGTTAAAGACTTCTTTTCAGAGTCCAGTTTACAGGGGAAGGTACAGAAAGAATGATGATACTTACCAGCTGCCTGGGACTGCATGAAGCCCCCTACTCCACTAAGGTTGATAACAGCAGCTTGTTGAGCAGATAAGGCCTGTTCTTGACTGGCTGAACCTTGTTCAGGACCCTGGTAGATAAAGAAAAATGACTTCTATACAAAATGAAAGACAATTCTGAGTCGGTGAAGTTAGTATTTGTTCTCTTTATAAGAAGAATTAGAGTATTGGCATTAAGCTTGGACTTAAAGAGTAAGTCCCTTCTGTGGCTGTTTATCTTTTGTTTTTGTTGTTGTTTTGACAGAGATGAGCCTATGCAAAAGCAGAACGGATCCATGGGATTTTCTGGCATTTATAAGTTTACGGACGCAGATGTCCAGGCCATTTCTTCCATGGTTCCGCTGGGCGTTGCACGTGGTGCTCTATTTCCAAAGGTCAGCCCTATAAGGACACCTTAAATCCACTGTGACTGCAAGGAAGAAACTGGGGCACCATATCCAGCAAGGTACAAATTATTAATGCCTGGATGTGTAATGGAGAAGACATAAATAGAAGATTTCAAACGTACTTAAAAATGGGGGGGAGGGTATTTAAAATAATCAAGGGTAGAGGTATTTGTGGGATCTGAAACCAAAACCAAAACCACCAAAAGTCCCTTAGCACACAACTTAATGTAAAAGAACTGATTCTGAAAACACAATGTATATTAAGGACTGTCTGAAACACAACATCAATGAAGGAACGCGTGAAGTACAGTGTACATGAATGAAAAACAATGTATACGAATCTTGCTTGCAAACAAATATAAAATCATACATAAAAGAACTGATTCTGTACTGATTTCGTCTTATGTTTTATTAATAGTGCCTAAAACTTTTCTAAACCTTCATAAATATTTAATTTTTAAACAGATTTTCAAAAATAGATTTTTTTAAAGTTTAAAGTACCAGTTATTTAACACTGACCTAGTCAATACAGTAAATCAAGAAATAAAAGGTGCACAAAAGATGTAAAGGGAAAAAGAAAACTATCCTTATTTTAAATTATGTGACTGTCTAGCAATGACCACACAGAAATCAACAATTTAATTGCTAAACAAAACCCCTGTATTAATCTAACAAAACACTTAAGACTTGTATGTTACAAATGACACAATACATAGAAACACGTAATACATATACACATAAAAAGGGATAGAACAATGTTGCTGAAACATGGAGTGTGATGCTCACGGATGGGAGGACTTCACACAGTGGTTGTGTCCTGTCGAGGTGGGAGAGACCCTCCAGCAGGTTTTCAGAGGCAATAATGGGAGGAGACTGCTCCGCTTTCTCTCAAAGAGCAGCTGCTGGATCCAAACTGCCTGCCTTTGGGTTGGCAGTGCAGCTCTACCTGCTAACCCATCAGAGATTCCTCTAACACAGTAAAGATGTCAATTATGCCCCTGTTGATCTACCGGGTTAATGCAATTCTTTAAAAATTTCTAAAATACTTGGATGATTTTAAGTAAGTAAAAGTATACTAATTTTAAGTGGAAAAAGCACTAGAATAGCTAAAAAATTTTTTTGAAGAAGTATGAAGAATTGTTCATCTTCTCTTTAATGCTCACTACAGACTTCTGGTGGCCTATTGGTAAGAAGCTGCCCTGCAATCCCAGAGGCATGCATTTCTAATCTGCCAGCTGCTCAATGGGCGATCTCTTCCAGTGCGACTTACTGCCTCTGAAAGCCCATGCTGAGTTAGCTATGAGCCAGTTCTCACTCGAAGGTCAACCACCACCTACAGAGATCGGAGAAGACTGTGGTTTTGAGAGAGTAAGAAACAAAGGTGAAGGGAATAAAACATCACAGAAAGACCCACACGGAACAAAATGACTCTCACAAAAATTGAGTGGAGGAAACAGAACTTTTCAACAAAAGGTGCAAGGTGCAGAAGTAATGGAACAGTCATAGAAAAAATGTTTTTGGGGGGAGCTCTGGTGGCCTAGTGGCAAGGAGCTGCAACTACAATCCCAGAGGCGCACGGTTCAAATCCACCAGATGCTCTGCCGGGGAAGGAGGGACAATCTCCTCCTGTACCAGTCAGACCTGATTTGACGGTATACTCACACAAAAATAATAATTAAAAAAAGAAAAAGAAAAAATGTTGATCTCACACCTTATATGAAAATTAATGGAAAATGAACCACAGATTTAAAAGTAAAACTACAAATGTTTAACAGGAAAAAATCTTGTGGGATCTCGAATTAGGTGAAGAGTTGTTAAGACAGAACACAAAAAATACAAGCTTCTATGAAATGGAAAACTTCCTAATAATTTAAACACTTCTATTTTGCTACTACTAAGACAGTTCTGAAATGACACAGGCAGAATACAAGCCAGACATTTCAAATAATAAAACACATTTATTTTGAGGCTATCTCCCGAGATTCTGAAATTTCTTCCTTTAAACCATAGTTGATTCTCTTCGATTATCAATAAATGGTGATTCAGTCAATCTTACTTTACTGGACGGTGATGAAGAGGAAAAAAGGCAGAGGAACTCTTAGGAATGGATTAAATCGATGTAAATACATCATTCCTCTATGAGGAAAACGGGAAAAGTGCGAAAAGTCCTGGTAATGTGTAAATGAGTACCACCTTCTGAGAAGGCAATTTAAAAAAGGAGGAAGCTTGTTTTTAGGCGGCACTTCAGTAACCTTGCCCACCTGGTGCGGCACCACCCTCCCACTCACTGTGCTTGAGCCCATCGTAGGTGCTGCCTTCAACCCATTCTCCTTTCCCGACCCTTCACTTTTCCCAGCATGATGTCATTTGCTCCTCTTGATAACAAGCTCACAATGAGTGAAAGGAGGTCTCCTAATCCTGGCCTCAAAGGAGTATTCCGGCATAGTCTGTATAGACAACCCTGTGGGTCTAGTAACTGCCCCTCTAAGAACTCATCAGCAGACATAAAAGTAGGAGGGTGTAAAAAAAATGTAAAACTGTTTATCACAGTGTTTATAGTGGCAAGCCCTGGAAAACATCACATTAAATATGATACTCAATAAAGAAAATCTAAGTAAATGCCAAATACAAACACAGGCAGGGATGTAACGGTGAGTGGGGCTGGACAGCACAGGCAATCTCGAGGGACACGGTTTCCAAGGGCGATTTAGAGATACAGAGAAAGGCTAGTTTTCCATGGAGCAGTGGCAGTCCCAGGGAAAAAGGACATGTTAATGACTCTGAGTGGATTGGACTACCGTGACCACATGAGTGCATGAGAACTGTGCTTAGTAGGGCTTACAAGGCTATGACCTTTCAGAAGCAGATGGCTTCTTTCCTTCTGAGATGATGCTGGATGGACTTAAACTATCAATCTTTGGGTTAGTAAGCTAGCCCTTAACTACTTATACCATATAGGAATGCCTAAGGAAGGAAGCAAACGAGAAAGAAAAAAAAAAAGTAAATAAAATTAGGTATCCTGTAGAAATCAAAGGAATGAGATACACTTTTTGTATTTTTCCCCTCATGAGTATCAGCATTCATTAAAAAAAAATAATAAAAAAAATTCCAACATACAACAGGGCAGAAATAGAGATGGAACCCTGTTCACAACAACTGAACAGAAGTAAGAAAAAGACAACTATATACTCTTCATAACTGAAGTACTGTAACACAACAAAAACAAAAGCAAAGTAACAACAAAAGCCTCCCATCTATAATGAGGTTAAAGTTATATTAATTAAAGTTATATTAAGAGGTTCAAGTTATATTAATAAGGTTAACCAAAAGAAAGAAGGAGTGTTACAGAAGAGGCTCATTTAATAATGAAAAGGTCAAGAAGACACGCTGTTAGGCACAACAGTCAACTTCCTTAAGAATAACAGATCTGAACCTTCCCTTATGCTGCGCCATTTTCACGATCTCCGATAAGCTGGAGCCATCATCACAGTTACCAAGTCAATCCATCTTGTTGAGGGTTTTTCTCTCTTTCTTTCCAAGGACTGGCCCCTCTTGACAACAAACCCAAAGTATGTGACATGGAGTCTCACTATCCTTGACTCTAAGGAGCATCCTGGTTGCACTTTCTCCAAAACAGACTTGTTTGTTCTTCTGGCAGCCCGGAGATACTTGGTACTCTTCCTTAACATGGTAATTCAAAGGCATCCATTCATCCTTTGTCATCTTTATGCAACTCTCACACACAGACAAAACAACTCAAAGTATTTTGACTTGGGTCAAATGCAATTATCACCACTCTTTTAGCACTTTGAAGAGGCCCTGGAGAGTAGAATTCCCCTGTGCAACAAGTCTCTTCATTTCTTGACTGCTGTTAACTGTGGATCCAAGCAATCAAACTAGTAACAATTTCAATCTTTTCTCCATATATCATGATGCTGCCTATTGGTCCAATGGTGAGGGTTTTTGTTTTCTTGATGTTGAGATGGAATACATATTAACAGTTATAGTCTGAACTTTTTAAGTAAGTTCAAGTTCTCTTCAATTTCTCCAAGCAAGGTTTTGTCATCTGTATAAGATAAGTCTTTTCCAATCCTGACTGGATTCTTTATAGAGTTCAGCTTCTCAAATGATTTGCTCAGCATACAAACTGAACGTTATACAACCTTGACTCTCACTTTTTCTGATTATAGACCATACAGTGTTCTGTATGGACAACTTCTTCTAGATCTATGTATATGATGTACATGAGTACAATGAAGTATTCTGGGATTCTAATTTTTCTCAAAGTTATCCATTAATTTGTTATGGTTCACCATCTAATAACATCTTTGTATAGCCAATAAAATACAAGTAAACACCTTTCTAAACTTGAGGTTTGATAACACAGTAATCATAAGTTTACACAATCTAACAATCAAACAAAAATAACAATAATAATAGAATTTCAAAATACATGAACAGGAAAGGAGACATAGGATTTTCCATAACTTTAGCTGCAGAGTTCAACTATCAGTTACTTTCTAAGTAGCAGATAAAATGTCAAAAGAAAATCAGTAAGAGAAGAAAATTAACACCAAACAATTTAATCAGAGATTCTTTTTAAAAAATTTAATTATTATTATTATTATTATTATTATTATTATTATTTTTAATTTCAATGAAAATTTGCAGCATTCTGGACTCTTGTAATCTGACATTCTTATGAGAACATGCCATCTTACAGCAAATCCTTTCCAAATTCATATGCACCAAGTATTTTGGACCATAAAACAAGTACCAACAAACATAAAATAGTTTCAAATTATATCAGAAAAAAACTACAGAAAGATACTTGAAAACTGCTAAATATTTGGGAGGGGGAATCTAATTTCTAAATAACACATGGATTTAAATAGAAATTCACCAGGAATATTAGAAAACCCAGTAAATGAGATGAAAATTATGGCATATATATTATGATAAAGTATTAAGAAGGAAATGTACAACATTGTTTCTTTCAGAAACGAATTTATCACTGTTTCCCCATTAAAAAACTAGAAAAAGAGTTAAATTATAATTTTTTTTTTAAAATTTATTTTTATGTGTGTGTACCATCAAATCAGATCTGACTGGTACAGGAGGAGATTGTCCCTCCTTTCCCGGCAGAGCATCTGGTGGATTCAAACCGTGAGCCTCTGGGATTGTAGTTGCAGCTCCTTGCCACTAGGCCACCAGAGCTCCCCATATAACTTTAAAAACTCCCAGAAATAAAGGCCTAGATCTACAAATGTAAACGGCCTAAGAAGTTTAGCGTTGGTGGCATAGTCTGTATTCTGCTGCACTCTGAATCTATAGACTGTGTGGCTCTGAGAGTTCAAGGGTTTGAATCCACTAGGGGACACTTGCTGGAGGGCTGCTAAAAGCCAGGACCGGCTTGAGGGCCGTGAGATTTATTCTCTGGAAAGGAAATCTAGAAGAATACTTCTGAGTCAAATCCTAGTGAAAAGAATAGATTTTAAAGATAAACTCTAAGGACCATCAGGCAAAATTATGAAGTCATTTACTAAGAGAATTTAGACTGGCATCAGCCTTCTCAAAAACACTCAACATGAGACAACACTGGACAGTATTTCCAATAAATTTAAGGGGAAGAAAGGAGGTGTGAAACAAAGATTTTATATATCCAGCCCATCTTATACATGTTAAGGATGAAAATGGTTTTAATTGTGGCAGTTCTGAATATGCCATTTCAAGGAATTTATTAAGAATGAACTTTATATCGAAGCAAGAACTGACTGGAGACACTTGTGAGCTGAGAGAGATTCTAGGGTTGGGACCTAGGTGATAATATATTCAATATCCCAGGCAAGTCCAAAGCACAGCCATGGTTTAGAAACACTGACTAGTTCTTTGTTTAGTCAGTGTTTCTAATTTTTATCTTGAATCCTGTCTTTATAATTTCATTCTCTTTGGCAGTGGCAGACTGACAAGCACTGAGACTAAAGTCTTGCAGGGGACCCTGACTTTACTCTCCCACTTCCTTCCTGTCTCCTTCAGTGATAGGTGTATGCACGGTGCAAGCAAGTAACTTGTCTGTTTACTACTATGTAAGGCGAATAAGGGTCACCACTCAGTCATCATGGCTATGTTAAGAGTTAGAAATATTCACAAGTGGACAGTTATTACTATGATTAAGGGAAAAACACTTAAGCAAATCATATACAAGCACTTGAATAGGAATAAAGAGGATGAAAAAAATGAAAGATGCTGGTGAAAACCCTTCCCCCAACGCAAGCACGCTGGCCTTGACGAGCGCCTACCTGCTCCCCCGGTTGCGGCTGCGCATGACTGGAAGCGGTGGGCTGCTGAGGTGACTGCGGAGTGAACGGAGAGAGCTGCTGCTGCTGCTGCAGAGGGTTAAAGATGAGTGAGCCGCTGGAGAGCTGGGAGGGAGCGAGCCAGAAACAATCAGTCAAGCTCACGTTAAGGTGCGTGAAATGTCAATTTCTTGATTAAGACAGTATTCGTGGGTAGCCCACGTAGAGCAGGATTTGAGTGGAGCAGTTACTGCTCTGTTATTCCCTAAGCAGTTAAACTGTGTGAATTGTCCAGCTTTGCAGGAGAATGATGGGCAGTCTCCTGGAGGGTGTGCTATGAGCCAGTTCTGACTCAAGAGTACACAGCAACAACTACCCCAAAGGTTGGTGGCTAGAACCCACCCAGAAGCACATTGGAAGAAAGGCCTGGTGAACTTCTCACAGCAAACCTACCACTGAAAAATCCTATGAAGCACAGTTGTATGCTGCCATGCCCGGGAGCTGCATGAGCTGCAATCAAGGACTGTGAAGCTCTGTTGCACACAGTCTGGGCGTGCTGGCTTGGAGCAGGACATCATGTGTGGAAGAGTAGAGGGTCAGTGCAGGAGAGGAAGACCCTGGGGGAGATGGACTGACACAGTAACGGTCAGAGGCGGTGAAATCGGCTCAAGATAGGGCAGGGTTCAGAGAGTCGCTTTGAGCTGTAGTCAACCGGATGGCACATCAACATTTTGTAATACGTGAATTAACAATTTTAAAAAAAGGAAAGCAGTTGTAGCCAACCTGGTGACAGTGGTTAAGGGCCTGGATGGTAACAGAGAGGTTAGTGGTTTGAACCCACCAACTCTTCCTAAAGAGAAACACGTAGCAGTCTGTGCTGCTCAGGATTACGGCCTCTGAGACCCCAGGGTGCAGCTGCACTCTGCCCTACAGACTTGCTTACAGAGTTGGAATCACTCAGCGGAAATGGTGGGCCCTGGGGTGGGGTGAAATCTATTTACTTTAACTGTCCGCTCAATTTGAGTATTTTCCACAAAACAGAAATCCACAGGTTCTGTGTAATAGAAGAAACCTAAAGCTGAGAAGAAAATGCCATTAATTTTCTGGAGAAAAAAATTATTTGCTCTGCCATTCCAAACTGAACGTATTAATTCACATTAAGAAAATAAGAAGACTCATCTAGAAGGTTCTAGGTTAAAAATGTAAACTATGTTTTCCAAATGAGTCAGGAAAACAAACATTACAGCAAAACACTTCCTGAGATTTAACTTACTGGTCTGGGGATTTAGGATCATGGTCTCAGAACATTCCAGTTCATAGACCTAATAAAAATCTTAGTGCTTTAGCTCTAAAATTGTTTTGGAGGGTCTGGGGTCTCAAAAGCTAGCAATTAGCCACCAAGGCCCATCAATTAAGTCTCCATTCACCTGGGCAACAGAAGAGAGTCAGAAATAGAGGAGGAAAGTGAATGCTTCCAGGAAAAAACTATTTCCTCTGCAATGTGACCATGAGAACTGGGTGGTGTCCAGCTACCAGAACTGAATGTCCTGCCCAGAGATTCTAAAGTAGGGAAAATGCAGAAATTCAAGCCTCATTAACTAAGACTATCTGGTACCACTGAGGCTGGAGGACTCTCTAAAGCTAACTGCTTAGAAATAATCTTTACCCTCTAAGTTACAAATCAAATATCCCCTGAAAACATCTCAAAACCAATCTAATTTAACTAATAAAGATATCCATGGTAAGCACTGTGCTCTTGCAAAAAAAACTTACTATATAGGATTAAACTGTTCATACCAACTCAGAGGCCAGAGAGGACGCTTAGGGGGAGGCAAGTTAGTTCACTAGGGCAGGAACAATCAGGAAAGACAAGACAACAACAACACACTCTGAAGACTGCAATCAGTGCCCTATTCTGTCCTCGGAGAAACAATTTGTATGCTTTTCTGTTTATTTTCAACAATTAAAGAAGGAAAACAAATGCTCTGTACATTTTAGTGTGCAAGGTTTTAGGTTATACACTCTGAGGTCCCTGGGAATAAGGAAAAGGAAAATTCAAGTACACAACTCTGAGGATTGAAAAATGTATTCTTGAAGAAAAACAAAACAAATTAAAAAAAAAAGTGTTCCTGAGTCATAATAGCTCCATCAATCAGTACAAAGAAGCCTCAACAGGAGTTCCAATCTACCCAGGGACCCCACAGATGAACACCGGGCAAACTGCTCCTACAGAGATGAAGGTTTAAAAGGCCAGTCCTACTGTGACCTGGGGTGACCATGGATAGAAATGGACTCAAAAGCTCCTCACAACAGCACAATTCAGTATTCGATAAATTTTCACCTACTAATCAGTTACACAAATATAGAAAAGTGTAATTAACTTATATAATGGCTCTGTCCTTATTCCTTACGAGCAATATTGTAAAGAAATTCTACATTGAGAAAAGTTCCAAAAGATAATATGTAGGAAAAGTGGGCTAAACAAATCAACGTGACCTGTGTCGAAAACCAAGTAAACGGCTGTGCAGTTACAGGCCGCAAATGGCGATGCTGTGTGCTCCTTGCATACTAAGTTCTGCCCCGAAGGCACTTTTTAATTTTAGTATTCCCGAATAACACCTGGCTGGTGTTGTTATTTCCCAGAATATCACAGCTAGGCCATCTTAAGTCTCTAGACCTTTGTTTCCCCTCTTCATTGTCTAAATTACCTGTCTGTAATCCCATTCCTTTAACAAACTACTTGCCTGGTAAGTAAATTCCATCCTTGAAATCGGAACTCTGGTGGCTTAGTGGTAAGGAATTGAGCTGTCACTCAAAGGCATACAGTTTGAATCTACCAGTGAATCTTTAGGAGAAAGATGGCCAATCTCCTCCTGTGGGATTTATGGCCTCTGAAACTCTGTGGAGGGTCAGCTGAGCTGATTCTGACTCAATGGTACACAACAGCAATACCAATAAGCACAGTATCATGAAATATAGGAAGACTAAAAGCACTTACTGAAGATTAAAGACTCCAGCCTTTAATATGGATTACATCTCAACATCAAGAAATCAGAAATTTCTACCACTGGACCAACACACAACATCATGAGAGCGAAAAGGTGGTAACTGTTCATGATTTTATTTCACTTGGATTCATAATCAACACCCTTGATAGCGACAATCAAGAAATCCAAAGACACAACAAAAACTAAAGCCAAAGAAGAGGAGACTGAGAATTTCTCCCACTTTTTGCATTCCAAAACTGGCCAAACATGCATTCAAGATGCATTAATCATTATGGGTGACTGTAATGAAAAAGTTGGAAGCAGTAAGGAAGGAATGAGTCAGAAAGTGTGGTCTTGGTGACAGCAATACCTCTGACATAGAATGACTGAATTCTGCAGGTTCAAATTATTTGTTAGAAATCCTCAAAAGATGACTCTACAGGTGGGTCTCACTGCCTAAGAACCACATTTACCACAGGGGGCGAGAGTCAGGGGCAAACGTAGGAAACAAAAATGGGCTGAGAACATAAGCACCTTCTATCACAGGTGCTTTATCATTCCGTTCTGTATCCTTCAGTATCCGTTATCAACTGCTGTGCAACAGCCACAGGAATTCAGTGACATTATTAAAAGGTTTATTGCTTATGGAAAAAAAAATCCAAAGAGGTATTTTTATAGGACAAATGTGCTGTCAAGGGCAGATTTAAAGTGCTAAAGTACAGGACATCTATTTAAAGACTAATGTGTGCCTGATCCAAGTCACAGCATTTCCAATCATTTCTTACGTATCTGAAGCCAGACAGTAAACACATACTGAAGAAGCCTTTGAGTTGTACTGGAGAAGAGTACCGAGTATCTCACAAAGACTCAACTAAATCTGTTATGGGATAAGTACAAGAGTGCCCATCAGAGGTAAGGATGACGACATCTCACACACACTGGGTATGTTAGAAGCCAGTCCTTGAAACAAGAGACAGCATGCTGGGAAAGGCAGAGTTGGCCAAGGCAGGAAGACCCTCAATGAGACGAACTGACACAGTGACTGCAGCAATGGGATGAGCGAGGGAGATTTGTTATGATGCAGGATAGGGCAAGATTCAGACCTGCTGTGAGTTGTGGTCGCCTTCATGTCATTTAACAGCAGCACCATGTCCAGAATGCCATGGCTTTACAATGTGCACAAAGCATTTTATGGTCTTTCCCTTTTTATGAATACACAGATCTAATAAACTAAGAAAAACCTCCCTCTTAGATAGATACATGCTGTCAGATAGAAAATGCTGGTGGCTACAGTCCCTCCAATGGCTCACAAGGTATGTTGTCTATTTCTCAAAGATCAGTCTTTGAAAACATCGGAACATGATTCAACACAGGGTGTTGTGTGTCAGAATCCTCGAGGGCCAGTTTTTGTTACGATTCTGAGAGTGTCAGGGGAGTGAGCATTATTTTGTTCTGTACAAAGGGCGGATACGAGTTGGCATTAACTCAATGCGACCTAACACAAAAGAACAATTCTGTGTGTTTTAAGAGAGGAATGATTTTGGGGGCTTCTCTATTAAAGCTCTCACAGGTACATATTCTCTTGAGAAGCGCAGGCAAGTCTTCCTCCTGGAACAGCCAGTTCTTGATTAGAGCCTAAAGCATATAAAATCCTGATGCTTTCTTTTCTCTTTTTTCATCTGTTAATAATAACCACACCCGAAGGCAATTCTGAATGGATCTCCCAGTTTGAGTATATACAAATACTGTGTTAAAGAACAAAAGCACAACTTCGCTTAAAAGCAGAATTTCATGTTTACCTGGAGTAGATTTAATGGCCTGAGACTTGACGTATTTTTTAAACCAAACGGAACACCTGTTAAATAAAATCCATAATTATAACAGGGAATTAAAAAAAAAATTGTTACACAGAAATAATCTGTATTTTGATAGCCTCACTAGTAACTACAGGGGTTCTGGTGCCATAATGTTTGTTAGGCACTTGACTGCTAAATGAAAGGTTAATGGTTTAAATCCACCTGCCGGTTCAGTGAAGAAATCACCCGGAGACCTGTTCCTGCAAAGATCCCAGCCTAGAAAACCCTGCAGGGCCACTCTACTGTGAGAGGGGGCTGCTATGAGGTCGAGTAGATTGAATGGCAATGAACAGCAGCAGCTGTATAAATGATGTTCTCTACATAAATGAAAACAGCAGCTCTGCATCAAGGACACTCTACCCAAATGAAAACAGATTTGTTTCACTATTTAGCAATGATTAAGAACTGAGGCTACAGAAACCACGTCTACATTACGCTCTGTATTTTAGACCTTGGAACTTCTTTATCATCGTTCTGACTGTTGGCTGGAAAAAGAACTAACCTATAGGTATGCCGACATTATGAATGGAATACAACCACTGCTGCTGCACAGAATTATTTCCGACACGGGTAGCTATTTACATTTCTTAGGTAAGGGCATCTCTAAGAACTGGAGTATTTTTTTTTTAGAATGGAAGTATTTTTAAGTACAGATACTAACTAATGCTGACGAACTCTACTTTCTATATATCTATCTCTCTATCTAAAGATTCAAGCGGAAAATGAGGCCATGATTGTCTGGTAATTCTGAGCTTACCCCTAAAAACCTGTGATTCAATAGGGGGCACACCTGAAAGCATGGGGCAGCAAACTTCTTATGCAAAGAATGGAAATACTTTTTCTAGTTTTTGCAGGCCACATATGGTCTCTACTTTTTAAAATAAACAAAAACAGGATCCTTAATTGTGCTTGCAGGACTACTAATACTAGTCTCAAAGTATGGGTTATATTTTGCTTATTAATACCATTATTGGAGTACTATGGCATACTGATAATTTCAAGGAGAAAAAGAAGTTGAGAAATTTACATGTGAAAGATAAAAGACTTGTTCAATAAATGGAATCATTAGTATCACATTCAAAGGCAATAATACTCTTATGAAAAGAAATGCTTTCCTGCTTACTAAAGGTACTTTTTTAATATCAATTCATTTCTCACTGGTCCCAAATGACATCAGATATTTTTACTTTCATTTAAGAGAAAATAAAATGGTGGTCTGAAGGGGGGGGGGGGAAGAGGCCTCCTGTTGAGGAACCAGAGCCCTATGTAACTAACTAGTAGGGTTGGCTCGCAAATTCTGGGGGGGCTCTGGTGGCCTAGTGGCAAGAAGCTGCACTGCAATCCTAGAGGTAAGCAGTTTGAATCCACCAGATGTTCTGCTGGAGAAGGAGGGGCAATCTCCTTCTGTACCAGTCAGATCTGATTTGACGGTACACATACATAAAACAATAAAATAAATAAAAAAACAAAACAAAACAAAACAAAAAAACAATAAAATAAAAAAAAAAAGGAAAAAATTTGATTCTGTTTCCTGGGGTCCTCTTATAAGGCACAATTACATATATCAAGATAAAATAAACAACTGGACTAGAATTAGTGAAGTATGCTGCTGCATTTAATGCTATAGTTTTGGTGTTTTCTCTTCCTAAGTCTCCAGTAAATGTTTCTGCGTTGTGCTGCTGATGCAAAGGTGGTACGTCTCTGGCGGCTGGAATTCCCCAGCAGCTCTGTGGGAAAAAAGATGGGTAATCTTCTCCCTTGCAATTTTACAGCCTCCAAAAACCTGTTGCAAGGTTGGCTATGAGCTGGTCCTATCTGACAGTAATGAGTTGAACTGCGTTTAGGATGACACTGAATTATACTATGATATTCCAATGAAAGCTTATAGACAGTCTTCCAAAAAAAGCTCAAGTAGCTTTTTTTGTTTTAACTATGACCCAGCACATGTAAAAATAATGACGAGAATGATGACAACTACAATCCAGCTGAGAATAAAAGCAACAGTGATTGACAGGCTCGCTGCCGCTGAACTGATTCGAGTCACCGCTCCTCTACAGCAAGCCTCCAGGACAGGGAACCGCTCCCACAGGGTCAGGCTGTCCGTTCCCACAGAGGTGCTGGTCACGTATTTCTACAATGGCCGCTAGAAACACGGTGGGTTCAAACCACCCCTCTTTCCGGTTAGCAGCTGGGTACTTACTGGCTGCATCACCAGGGCTCCTTCAATGATGACAGTAATTCCATTTAATTTATTTAATTTTGAGTCTCATTACACCCTTAACCCACTCTAAACATGTCATTTGCATTTATTCCTTTAATCCTCACACCATCAGAAGGAATGAGGCTTTACAAGTTCTTCCTACTCCTGGAAAGCCGAGCATTCCTATGAAACTTCCTAAGATGACATGGTGTAAAGCAACAAGGGAAACACCAGTCACACTTTATGATAAAAATGGTTTTGTGTTTTTCCAGAATCTAAAAAAATAACCTAACAACACAGGAACAACTAACACTAAGATAAACCAGAGTCAAAGCAGGAATGAGGAGTCCAGTACACAGACTATATCAAGAAGTAATAGTGGTACAGTGTCCTTCCAGGGTAAGGAGTTTGGCAACATCACTAGCTGAATGGGGTGCAAGTTACTCTCTAATGAGGACATATGGTCTCATAATGGTTCCAGGTAGGACAAATGCTTAACATCAGTTTGCTTTTCTCCCTTTTATTCCTTAAAAAATCCTCTTTGGATTAGTTTCAGTAGTGAAAACAGCATGTCTTTCATGAAAGTGAAGTGACTTAACGTGAACTTGAAAAGCAATAGAGTAAGTGTATCAACATTTTCATAATAAAACAAATTTGCCCAGTATTACTTAGCTAGTGATTTATAGAACTAGGGCTCAAAATCAGAGGGTTTGGCTCCAGAATCTAGGCTTTTTATGGACATGCTCTGTTGTCCCTCAAGAACAATGCACCTTTTTCAGAATTTCTATTACCTGGACTATGATTTACACTTAAAATACCTAGGACAAGAGTACACAGCCAACAAGACTCCTGAGGTTAAGTCACAAGAATGAGTAGAGGATAGCAGCTAAAATTTGCAAGGGCTTACAGGCTTAATTTTTATTAAAAAATGGATTACTACATTGTTTCAAATTCAAACATGAGTAATTTAAAGACCTTAGAGACAAAAACTAGACAAATAATAACTTTATGAAATAGCAGCGTTAAATGCCAGTAAGGGGACCTTTAAAATGATATTCCAACATCAGCATGTGGTTTAACTTTTTTAGAGGGTCTAATTCCCACTATTCTGACCTGCTTGCGAAGTTGGCAGAGCACCTGGCAGTGCACTGGGCAGCAGACCTCCTGAGGGAAGAAGGCCACTCAGATTTATTCCTGCAGGAGTTACGGCACCAGTGTTACAGCCCAGCATGGAGTTTGAACCACTCATCAAAGCCTGGGCTCCACTGTGGGAGAATAAAGACAAAGTATTAAAGCTGTACATAAAAAAAAGACTATCAGGCACATCTTCATTTCCTCCATTAATAATAATAAAAACCCCAAACCACCACACACACAAATCAATTATGAAACAACTGTAATTAGTATTTCTTTGTATTACCAATCTTAGAATAACTTTCATTTTATGCTAGAAGGTGACAGTAAGCTTGACTAGCCTTAAGTACTATGCATTTCTTAAAGTTTAGCATTACTTAGGAAGAGCAAAAAGTCTAGTTTGGTTAAAAGATGGGTAAACAGAGAGCAAAGAAACCAAACTGCTACGCATCTCAGCACAGTTAACAGATGTATTACCTAAGAGTTAAAACAGCTACACTGAGGTACTTTCAATTTCTGTCTCTTTTTTTTTTTTGGTACGAGTAGTATGCATTATTCAAAGTAAGAATTCATTTGTTAACACTGGTGAAAGTATCTTTTTTTAAAAAATTTAAGTTCATTATTTTTTGTGTGTACCATCAAATCAGATTTGACTGATACAGAAGGAGATTGTTCCTCCTTCTCCAGCAGAGCATCTGGTGGAATTGAACTGTGTACCTCTGAGACTGCAGTGCAGCTTCTTTCCACTAGGCCACCAGAACTCGCTGAAAGTATCTTTAAAAAACACTGGTGCACTTCTCTTTCCCCTTCTCCCCTCACTGTACCCCTCTCCACATGTGTAGGGGTAGAGAATGAGGGGTCATGGGGCAGAGTCAGGCAGTGGTGTGTGTGTGTGTGTGTGTGTGTGTGTGTGTGTGTGTGTGTGTGAGAGAGAGAGAGAGAGAGAGAGAGAGAGAGAGAGAATTCTGCAGAAGTCTGAATTTAAAAACTAACCCAAGCCACCCTGCTCCCCTCATCAGTGCAACTACACAGACTTACCAAACAGAGCCCACTACATTGATGAAGTTAAGGCCAGCGGAATTTGCCATGACTTGGGTAGCGGAGGTTCCTGGAGTTATAGATGTTACCATGGTGGAAAGAGGAATGGTCGTTACAGGCATCGCCTGGCTCAGAGACCTTTGCTGCTGAGCAAACTGAGTTAACAAAGTGGGCTGAGGGGTGAAGCCTGAATCTTGGGGAGTAGGGGTGGCAGTAGGGGTAATAGGAGTTGAGTTCTGAGCATCAGGAGGGTGTGGGGTCGATGAAGGGGTTGGTGTAGGAGTAGATGATTTAGGAGTTCCAGATCCTGCTCATTGAGAAAAATAAAAATTGCTAGTTTGTTATAAATGGCCAGTCCTTTTAAATATAAGGTTAATGGAATCTTACTTAGCACTGACAATTTGTTCCAATTTTTTTTTTAAAGCAGTAAACTGCAAGTGTTAATTTCTAGACATGATACATGAGTGTTGCTACACTCAATTACAATTAAGGATGCAGTATATCACCTAAAATACCATCATAGATACAATTACATAACAGTCAAAAGAAACACTTGAATTCTACCACAACACCTACTTAAAAATTAGTTTCCTGCATGCTGCTTTTGGCCTAACAAGTTTTAAGGATTTTGAATAAGGTTTGTATTTATGATGTCACTATTTGAGACTTCATTTAAAAATAGTACTTGATTCAGATAAACTCTGAATACATTTGATAAAGGACATATGGTTAACAATCATATTGGCACCTACATATATGTTTAGTTCCTAATACATCAAGATTATCCTGCAAATGAATTACAACAAAACAGTAATCAAGCAAGTATTTGATAATACTGCATCTTTAACAGTAACTGTGTACTTCTGTTGAAATGTAGAATGTACAGAAATCTTGTTGTGAATGAAGTATGCACAGTTATCAATTTAAAAACAAAAACCGAAACAAAAAATAAAACCAAAACAAAAACCAAAAAATAAAACCAAAAGCTCTTGAGGTGTTTTCTTTTTTTTTTAGCTTTCATGTCCTGCAGAAAGAAAGGAAAGAAATGTGAATGTCCAGAAGCTGTCACTCAACCCTTCCTTAAAGTAACAACTGTGTGCAGTAGATTAGCATAATCTAATACCCACAACATAAGTAGTGTGAATAAAACTTCCATAAAATTTATGTTTTTCTTTGTGCAAAACAAGAAGGCAGAAAAATGACACCTTTTGAGCTATCAAGATGAAGATGGGTACAGCTAATGTGAAGGCCCCTCTATCACTGTGCAGTGTGCTCGAACTTTGAGAACAAGTCAATTACCGATAAAAAGAAAAAAAAATCTAAAAAACTGGAATGGATTTTTAAAAAAAAATAAATTGGTACCTGAAGTACCTTGGTCAGGTGTTTACTAACTGGAAGAAAACGCTTCCAGATTAACGCTAGAATTCTCTTATAACTCTTCTTGATGTTAAAAAAAAAATTAAAAAAAAATTCAGTGGTAAAAATTACAAATTTGTATCTTCAAAGACTACTTTATGACTATCATCTCATTTTAGCAATGGACAACTTATAAGAGTGCAGGAATTTTTTTTTTTTAATTAGCTTTTAGTTTATGGTACTCTATCACCTTTGAACTAGCTGGCTTGCTACATATACAAAAACAGGAATGCAATAACAACTTGTAAGATTTTCCACCCCCATTTCAATTGCATTAATTGAAATAAACAAGGACTTTAGGATACACCACAGAAAAAAAAAAATTTGGAATCTCACTGTCACATCTGGCTACCAGATGTGTAGGTTGCAAATAGTATACACAGATAAGGAAAACAAATACAATAAACACATAATACATACAATCAACAAAAGACTTGCCCAAAGCTTCTCAAAATTTATACATCCTGAGTACACAGTATTTTAAAATTTCATTGTTTACTTGTGGGGGTCATCTTAGGAAGCACTACTGCAGAAGCTCATCTTATGAAAATGTAGTGGAGACTTTAAGCTCTGACTCACTTTGTGATGAGCTAGCAGGTGACAAGGCAGCTGGAGAAAGCATGCTAACTTGGCTGAGATCCACAGACGACTTCCGAGACAGACTCGGGGGCTTAGAAGCAGGAGGAGGCGTTGGAGACTTGAGAAAACTGCTTGCTTGTTGTGGGGTGAAATAATTACCTAGGAGAGAAACAACAGAAGTTCTTTTTCCAGATTTTTAAATTCTAAATTCTGTGAGTGAACAGGTGAAGTTTTAAAGCGATCATGTTTGTCTATTTCTTACTCTAGATGACAGAAAATGAAGACATAATACCTGAGGAACTAGTTCCTGAGCTTGAGGGAAGTTTGATGGGTGGAGGCCGATGCTTCACTCCCTTCCCCAACACTGATGACTGAACGGACACAGTCTCAGACTGTGAGGGAATAAAAATTGTTAAAATTAACATTAAATTAGAAATCCACAAATTAAGGTTACCATAATGACTGATGAAAGCATGCAATTAAAATGGCCAAGTACTCACGGCTAAAGTACCCTGGCAACAGTGATTATGGTTGTTAGAGAAAGGGAATTTTACATGAGATCTATCTAACTAATAAATTAGTTACACTAGTATTTTTGAACAACAGAGTGGAGAGAAAGAGAAGAAAGGAGAGGAATAAATATGAAGACAAAACTCCTACTCTGTTCCTTTTCCAGCAAAAGAACAGCAGCTGAAGTTAAGATATTAGTACATAGGTGTTGATTCTACTTTTCTATTTTTGTGTACTTTTGAAAGCTTTCAAGGGGAAAAATTAAATAAGGAAAAAAAGGAAAGCTATAGGTCAAAACAGAACCCAAATCCACCAACATCTTTCCTCCAAATATGTTTACTTTCTCAGATTTCTTGAGGAACAATTAGGCATAAAAATGTGACAGTGATTAAACATACTTCTGATTCTTTTCCTGGAGAATGCTGACTCAGAGTGGCTGAGCCACTGGACGTGTGTGACATTTTAACTGGACATTTGGCTTCATTCTGGACCAAATCCTGGTACTGATTGACTATTCTGAATTATTAAAGAAAAAAAAGGTAAGGATTAATGAAGTCTGTTTTAAACAAAATGCTCATACAGAAAATAAGAATTCCATAGAAATCATCTCAGAAATTAAAATCAGGCTATTTACCTTTGTGTTAAATATATTCTTTCAGTTCTTTGCATTGATAGGCTAACCTTCAAAATATGTTGAAATCTTATCTCAAGAGACATTCATGATTGTGTTGTGCTTTTTTTTAAAAAAAAAATTATTATTTTTTCGTGTGTCTACTGTCAAAATGGATCTGACAATTACAGGAGGAGATTGCCCCTCCTTCTCCAACAAAGCATCTGGTGGATTTGAACTGCTCACCTCGGGGATTGCAGTGCAGCTTCCTGGCACTAGGCTCAAGATTGTGTTTTTAATACAGAAGTTGCAGGGTGTTATTTTTACTTGACAAGCAGGTAAATTACACCTAGATTTTCACTTACTTCAATTCTGATTAAGGAAGGACCTAGAAAAAACCTTTCATAGCTATGCGAGTAAGTCTAAATCTTCTTGTTAAAAAGAAAACTATCTTTTAAACATCCTTTCCCCCGCCCCCCTTCCTTCTATGAAAAATATTCTCAACTCAATCTCGCTGGCACTGAGTTGAAGTCAACCCACAGCTAACCCTCCTGCGGGCTCTCTCACATCGTAGGGTCAAGGAGGAGTCTACTCCTCTGTCTTCTGTCGAGCTCCTAGTGGCTCCACCGCAGGTGATGCTTTAGGTTAGCAGTGCCAACTCCCTAGGGACTATGCCAGGTATGAAAAGAGAGGAAAGAAAAGGAAATCTTTTCAAACCTCATAACCACTCCTAGGGTACCACAATCTTCCTTACGGACTTTTGAGTTCTAGTGTATTACATTCTTCTTATACCTATTTTTGAGCTAGAAAGGACCTTAGAAGGTTTGTGGCTTAACTGGCTCATTCATAATTGAGACTCATAATATGAAGTTGTGTATGTTCAATCACTTAATGATCTAACTCGAATCAAGAATTTTGATTTACACCTGAACCTAAAATAGTGGAAAATTTTTCATATTCATCTACGTCAAAAGTATAGATAAAAGTCTGGTTTCTTTTTTACCTCTGAGCATCAGTCTTTGATCCAATAATGAACCTAAGAAAAAGAAAAATGGGAGTGGGGAAACTAAGTATTAGATAAACGATATCTTACAGAGTTCTGGGATTACTTTCGAAGACTTCTCTGTTTTACATCAATAAAACTGTCGGCCATGGAGAAGAATTCCAACTCATTACCCTCCACGGGATTTCTGAGGCTGTTAATCGTTTTGGTAGGAAGATGCCTCATCCTTCTCCCTTGGAGCTGCTGGTAGACTCAAACACTGGTGTATTTACTGGTCAGTAGCCCAGTTCCTAACACATTAAATCACCTTCTCTATTTCATAGAAAATAATTTTCTAAATTACTTTTAAATATATCAGGATATGAAAATAATTAGAAAATATACCTACACTTAGGAAGCAATGCCGAAGTTCTGCATGTATAATAAAATAGCACATGTGTAATTTAAAGGGAGATTTATTTTGGCACAAAGCTTAAATATCAAAACATTCTGAAGGGTGACACAACTAACACTAGCAATCCTCAAAGCTCTGCTCTATAGCAAAATCAGAGAGGCACTATGGCTGATCCAGCATTTTAACCTTTGGTGCCAAGGCACTCACTAGTATATACACAGAGCAGGACTGAGGAAGCTATTTTAGACAAGTTTAAAAAAAGGTCTATCACCAATTTTAAAAAAAGAAAAATTCCTTTATCAAGTCTTGTTTTGAGATACTGACATTTATGAGATTTCTTACCAATTTGAATGATCATCTGTAGAGGAGCTGAAATACAGAAAGAAAAAAAAAGTTTATATATTAAAAAAAAAACCCTGGTTAACACAACCTAATCACCAACTTCTTAGTAAAGTGTATGAATTATAAATATGAAAGACAGGAAAATAAATCAGAGTATTTAGAGAGAGAGTAAATATTGCCAAGTTTCTGAGACAATGCAAAAAACTGTCTTCTTGCCACAAATCTAGTCAGTTGCTTGTTGGACTGGTGTTTTTCAAGTCCTTGGAAAAGTTAATACATTTAACTATAAAGACCAAAAAGATCTTTAGAAATTGGTAATGGGCTTTAAGAAAAATGGAGAATTCTGATAACTATTTCCTCCCAATGAAATCTGCTTTTCTACTGTAGTGTTAAGTGATTTTTAAAATATAAGGCTTTTAAAATAATTTTAACATATACTCAATCCCTGCCCTTCTGCTGAGCTTGTCTTTGTATTTTCACCTTTTCAAAACAGCATCAACTTGATGAGAAAACAAGTCAACAATAAAAATAAAAAACTAGTTACTCTAAACTACATAACTAATTTATACTGTCAATACTTTAAGATAAAATCAATAATAAGTATTTTTAAAGCCCATAATTACACCAGGCCCTTAAATACACAGTTCTATAATATAGGCATCCTTAGGCAGTTGCTTCACTATGAGTTGCTAAATATATATTGGATGTACAATTTTCTCAGTAACAGAACTTACTGGGATGAAGACATCTGGCTATCGCCTTCCTCATCATCTTTACATGGCTGTATTTTACCATAGTACAGTGGATCACCAAGTGACTGCATAATGGTCAATTTTGTTTTCTGATACTGATTACCACCTTCACATTCAAATACATATTCATCTTTTACATCCTGAAAAAGAACATTAAATACACCTCCACCTTATTAAGTATGGACATTAATCGGAGAGAATAAGAATAAGGAAATAAATGACCAACTTGTGTCTGTCAACAGAAGAAAGATAGCATAAACTATGGAGTGGTTAGACCGAGTAAGAGTATAAAGCGTAGGATTCTTTCACATATAGTGCTTTGGGAATGAGGGAGTCCTCGGTAGTGCCAACAGTTAGCTTGTTTGGCTTCTAAATTAAATACTTAGAAGTCCTTTTGGAGAAAGGCTTGATTATCTACCTGAAAGAATCTGTCACTAAATTGAACACATTTCTACTCAGTGACTTGGCGGCATCTATTTTTTGTTATGTTCACATGGTTAAAAAGTTTTAAGCACTCTATGGTATGTTACACACACAAAATACAAATTGCAATAAAATAACACATGAACAAAACCCCTGAGAGTAGTTCTGCTTCTACTTGTTGTGTCTTCTTTTGATGTCACTTTGATCACACATATAAATATTGGCTGATCATTTCATGTCTTAAAAAAAAAACAACTCGGGGAGCTCTGGTGGCCTAGTGGCAAGAAGCTGCACTGCAACCCCAGAGATACGACGTTTGAATCCACCAGATGATCTGCCGGAGAAGGAGGGGCAATCTCCTCCTATACCAGTCAGATCCGATTTGATGGTGTGTGTGTGTACACACACACACACACACACACACACACAAAATAAAAAAACAAAACAAAAGACCACAACTCGACAAGGGAGCTCTGGTGTCCTAGTGGCAAGAAGCTGCACTGCAACCTCAGAGATACGACGTTCGAATCCACTAGATGCTCTGCTGGAGACCAGTGTGTATACAAACACCCCACCCCCCACACCAAAACCACAAACCTCGACAAAACCCAGTTGATCTCTAATCAGTTTCAACTCATGTGATCCCACGTGTATAGAGTAGAATTCCTCTACAAGGTTTGAAAGGCTTGACCTTTTGGAATCAGACGCCGCTTTCTTCTGAAGTGCTTCTGGGAAGTTCCACCCTGTGGCTGAGCACTTCATTATTTGTATCAACTAAGAAACCTGACTTTTGAGAGATGTTGACAGTCTATGATTGGGAGAGACCTGAAAGGCTGCTAGTCAGACTCATCCAGCAACAAAACAGAAGAACCAGATCGAGGGATCTACTTCCATAGAGATTACAGCCAATCCTAACCTGATACCCAAAGGGGTCTGCTCAAATGAATGTATGTGTGAAATAATATGAGACAGACCTCCTCATGGTAATTTACTAATTATCAATTTGAAATAGAAAACCAATGGTATCATCAATATGCAAATAAAGCAAAATGAAAATGCATCAAAATGGAAACAATATATATAGTGGAAACATGAAACCAAGTTTTTCCTTTTTTGTAATTCACTAAAGGCTCAAAGTTCTTTACAATGCCTCCAACTAAAGTGATTCTGCTCTTTTGCTTTTCTAGGGCAGACAAAATTACTAGAAAGGGAGACGGGCCTGTTACTTACATGGGCTGGCCATATTGTTGGTTGTGAGTCATCAGATTTGATAGATTTTTCCACTTTAGCATATTTTTCTACCTAAACAATCAAAAGACATCAGATATAATGGAATCAGTCTTACAAGCAAAAGTCAAGCAAGTGAATATATCAGAACACGACATGATTTTTATCAGGTTAATTCTTTAATTATTAGTTATCACCAATTGCTTAAGTTTAAAATTCTCCTGCTACATCAGCTTAAAATAATGAATCTGAAAAGTAAAAAATTAGAATCACTTTTGCCATTAACTAAATGTAATAAAGCCATGTCCTCTCCTGGATAGTGGTGTTAACAGCAAGTCTGGGGACTTGAATCCCAGCCGCTCCAAGAGAGAAAGAGGTGGCAGTTTCCTCAAGATTGACAGCCCTGAAAAGCTAGCAGGGGGTCGCTGTGAGCAAAGTGAAACTGCTGGCAGTGGAGAGGGTTCCAGTTTGTCTTTTACAGCCTCCCTAGTAGGAATCTGAGGTGCTGAAGAGAAGAAGTAAGATCTTTTCTCTCTGGTTAGTTTTTAATGAAACGGTATTGTCACACAATAGGAAGGACGAAAGTGAAAAGATGTAAGGATGTTATGACAGTTGGTAAACTTTTTTGGTGACACTTTGCTTTTCTGGTCAGACATGGGCCATGAGTATTTATGACTCAAAGGTTCTCACCTTTTTGAGCCTCTAGTTACTAAGACTATATATGGGCATGGGTTAAAAAAAAAAGTAAACCCCTGTGCCTCTCCACCGAAACCCTGATTCAGTAGGTAAATCTGAACTGGGGTTTACAGAGGCTGTAAGCACGTAGTTCATCATTCTCTCACGAAGCCACTGGTGGATCTGAAAAGAAGCACCCATCAGGACAACTCTACTAATTACACAGCTAGAGTTTCCTGCATATCATGTAATAGGTACTGCAGTTTTCACATCTGAGAAATAGTTTTTTCTTATTATTCCTGTTCTAAACAAAGAACATTCATATTTTTTTAATTATTTTTTTTTTTGTGCGTGTACCATCAAATCAGATCGGACTGGTACAGGAGGAAATTGTCCCTTCTTCTCTGGCAGAGCATCTCTGGTGGATTCAAACCGTGTACCTTTGGGATTGCAGTACAGCTTCTTGCCACTAGGCCACCAGAGCTCCCCAGAACAATCATATTTAAGGGTTATATACTCAAGTAAATACGAGAGAAAAATACAAAGCTTTAAAAAAATAAGCACTTAATAACAAAAAACAAACCCCCATAAAAAAAAAAATTGTAAAAAACATGTTATGGGGATCCAAGGAGGTAAGGGTTGGGAGCAGAAGAGTCAGGATGGGTAGGGAACACATTTTGTTTTTTAAAGACACATACCTTCCTCCTCAAAAGTGTAAGCTATGATTAAATTTAGAACTTTATATAATAGAGGCAATTCATGGTTTGACTTACATCTACTTCAGAGGGTACAGCCAAATTACAGGTGTTCCGTTTCCACATATCTACACACTGAAAAATTTAAAATGACATGAATGTGCTGGAAATGCAAAATAACGGAGAGTTTTGGCTACATTAATAACTTCATTTAAAAATTATCTACTTACATTTCCTGCTTTGGAGATTTTGAGGTCATAATGCTGACCTGCTTTTCTTTCTTTTCTTTTTTGTAAGAAATCAAGTAATCTTAACTGAGGAGGAAGTGAACAGTGAGACAGGTCCTGCTGCCGATTCAGAGAGGATCTAGAATACTTCTTGAAACACCTGAAATATTAAGACAGATTAATTACACAGAGCCTGTAAAAAACCCTCATTAATATGCATTGGTTTAACCAGTGAACACTAAAAAAACAAAAACAGACATACGATTTCCTTGTTGCAAACAGGATCTTAAGAGACTAGCAGAATAACAGAAAAAGAGGAACAAAATCCTGTTACCCAGGAGCTGGTACTCTGATACACACATATAAGTAAACAGGTAAGGACAGCAAGAAACTTTTCAGGGGGAAAAAAAGACTACCAATGGTGAGCGACAGTGAGGGTAACATCAGGAGGGACAGGAGGAAGGCCAAGTGAAGGACGCTATGGTGACAGGACCTGCCAGCTACACAGATGGGAAGCAGCAGTGGCTCTGTTATGGAGGTGCAAGCGGTGTGAACCACACTGTTTAACACTGTCAGGTGAGGCAAGACCAAAATGAAGGTCTATAAAATGCTGGTGTGGCATCTCAGCAGAAATTAATTATTTGTAAATTAAAATATCCCTGCAGTTATTAACACCAAAAATAACTTTTCTAAGCCAAATTTGTGTGTCAGAGGCAGTGCAGTTGGCGCAGGATAGAGCAGGGTTTAGGGCTGTTGTGCACAGGGTCGCTATGAGTCACAAACGACTCGACGGTACATAACAACAACAAGCCAAATTTGTATTTATCAATAAATCGATAAGGCTAAAAGTCAGTGCTGAATATACGTTTTGAATTATTTAATGCACTCATGTAGCTCTGTCTGCATGTGCGACAGGTCCGTACTGTTTTCACTGCTGCCAGTGTCTTGAGAACCACTGATTTTGTCATGTTTCAGGGTGTTATGGTCTTTTGTAAGGAGTTTTGTAAACCTGTATCTTTAACTGCAAAGAGCAGAGAGCCCAAAAGAAAAAGACCAAGACACACCATTACCAAACCTGCTAAAGCCAAAGCCAGAATCCTAAAAGTATCTCAGGAAAAATGAAAAGTTATCTACAAAGGAGAACTTAAAAGACTAAGCTCTGATTTCTCAACAGAAATCATACTGAAGAAGGCAATCGGACAACATATACAAAATCCTGAAAGAAAAAAACTGTCAACGAAGAACTGCACTATTTCTCAAATATAATGGTTCCATTAAGGATGATAAAATGAAAGGATCTGCAAAAACCAGAACCACCATACAAGAAATGAGAAATCTTTTGAACAGCAATAATTAACAACAACATTAAGAGACATGACCATTTCACCTGGGAATCAACCCAGATAGCAAAGTATAAAAAGAAAACAAACCTTAAAGACGAAAAACAGGGACCAGATATGCTAATTTCTATATGATGACAACTACAAAGCAAAAAGGATAAATGATATAGATAGAAGACTACCAGCTAGAGGGAAAGTTACGATCCTACCAAGATTCAAAAGTGAACACCCTTGGTATGAGCAGTCAGGAAAGAAGGAGACACACTGCACTCGGAAAATCTGTAGTTAGGGAGCTCTCTCCAAATTACTGAGAAGTAATGATGTCAGTCTGAGGACTAACGTGCATCTGATTGTCTTTCCAATCACTTGTTATGCATCTGAGACCTGGACAGTGTATAAGGAAGACAGAAAAGAACTGATGTCGTCTCTGAGCTGTGGTGTTGGAGAAGAGCGATGAATATCCCACAGACTGCCAAGAGAACAAGGTATGTGTTGGAGAGGGTGCAGCCAGAGTGCTCTCTGGAGGCAATGATGAAGCTTTGCCTGACATATTTTGGGCATGTTGCTAGGAGGGGCTATTCCTTGGAGAAGGACATGATGTTTGGAAGGGTGGAGGACTGTCAAAGGAGAGGAAGACACTCAACCGGGTGGTTTGATACGGTTTGATTACAATGGACTCTAGTGTGTGAGGTAGTGTGAGGATGGCACAGGGTAGAACAGGGTTTAGATCTTTTGTTCATAGGGTTGCTATGAATCATACTCAGCTTGATGGCACTTAACAACAAACACCACCACCATCAAGATTCAACATACTATTACATTGAGGAAGATAATAATGAACTATAAGGTTGCTTCAAAGAAAATGAATGATCACCAAAATAGAAATCACAAAGACACAAAAAGGACAGCAACAAAGGAAACAAGAAAAGTTGAAAACACAATCAACTCAGCATAGAAAAATACTATCACACACAAATATGAAGACAGCAGTTACCTAATAATTACACTCAAATGGATTAAATATAACTGTCAAAAGACAGAGTAGAATAGATAAAAAACCACAACCTATCAACATGCTATCTATAAGAAACATGTTGTTAAGTGCCGTCGAGTCGCAGGCGACTCACAGCGACCCTATGAACAAAAGTCCTGGACACCTCCTGTATAACTTTCGTCTACTCTCCAGGTTCATAGGGTTTTCCAGAGGCAAGCTATTATGGAAATGGATGCCACTCCTGCTTTCAAGCTTGTTTTAATCAGGGAGCTTCACCAAACACTGTCCACCATGGGAAACCATTCTCGCATTTGATACATCAGTGTCATAGTGTCTGGTTTTACAGTAACCATGAATTACCTCTGTACAGCAAGTGGACATACCAGGGTTACACGATCTTTACCTTGAAATATAGCTCAGATAAAAAAATAAGCAAAACAATGAAGCAACCAAAATACAAACAACAACAACAACAACGATGCATGGAAAAACAAGTATTAAGCAAATGGCAAATAAAAGAGGATAACATTAATTTATTAGAAATAGATCTTAAAACAAAAGTTATAAAGTGACACGGGAAGAAATTATACAGTAATAGAAAGGGTCAATCCACCAAAGAGGACAGAACCATAACTATTATCTACACCCACAGGGAGGTCTAGCAGGTTAAGTGACTCAGAGTGATCCCATCAACACAAAAAGGCATGCAGTCTGCTGGAGAGAGGAGATCTCGGACAATCTCCTCCATGTGATTTACTGCCTCTGAAAACTTGCTGATGGCAAAAAAACTCAAAAGAGACAAATAACAGAAGTTAAATGATAAAAAGGTGACTCCACAATGACAATGGAATACATGACATATAACAAAGTACACAAGACAGCTGAGGATAAACTAGCAAACTGGGCCCTCTTCCTAACTGACATTTATGTACACTGAAAAATTTCACCTAAAGAGTAAAAAGAAAACCTACAGATTTGGGAAAATTTCTAGGCAACAACCTATCACAGTATATAAATTTTGAAAATCATAACACCTAAATATCAAAAAGATAGGCAATCCAATTTAAAAGTGAGCCAAAGGCATGAACACACTCTTCACCAAAGACATTCAGACCGACACCAAACATGAGGAAATGTTCTCAATCCTTAGCAAATCGAAACAACTGGCTGTTATCTTGCTCAGAAACATTAATAGCAATATTCTGAAATAAGAAAACAACAAATGCTGGTGAGGGTGTGGAGATACCGCATAATCCTCTTCCATCGTTAGTGGACAGTAAAATGGTACAACCACTTAAGAGTATGATACTTTAAAAGTTATAGAAAAACGGATACAATCTGCCACAGAGTCAGAAAGCCTCATTAACTGACCCTCCAGTGAGTTTTCAGAGGGGAGTTCAGACCAAACAGGAAGAGAATGTCCATTTGAACCATCATAGGCGCCACCGCGGGTTACTAGTGCCAAAGCCAGAGTATGTGGTTATTGTCAGGTGCTGTTGTATTCACGCCAACTCAGTGTCCTCACCTACAAGAGAACAAAGCTCTGCACGATCCCACATCGTCCTCACAATCTCTGCTGGGCTTGAGTCCACTGTTGTGGGCACTGTATCTTATTGAGGGTCGTCTTCTTGTCTAACCTCCTACTTTTCCAGGCATGATGTCTTTCTGCAAGGACTGACCTCTCTTTATAATATGCCAAAATAGGAGAATAAGCCTTGGCATCTCTCCTTCTAAGGACCACTCTTGCTGCATTTCTTCTTAGATTCGTTTGTACTTCTGACAATTCATGGTAGATTTACCACCATGCATTTGTTCACTGCTCGCCAACAGCACAATTCAAAGGTATCCATTTTTCTTTATAATGAATATAGTTGACAAATTCACATTCATGTGACAGAAACAAGGTTATGAACACATCTGAGCCATAACCAAATATGTTGAGCAAATGAGTTGCAAGGCTTGGGAGCTTATGAACACCGTCTCAGTCATTCTTCAAGCTTGAACCTGACTCATCACTGAGTTCTTACCACACACAAGGCTGCAAGGGGAAGGTGCACCACTTGGGTGGTTTCAATCCAAAGGAACCATGGGAGAAGGATGAGTAGTCTTCTCCTGTGTGATTTACAGCCCTAGAACCCTGCAGGAGGGTCAGCTGATGAGACAGTAATAAAGGTGAGAGGTGATAAGGTGAACAACACCAGGAGGTAGGCTTTCCTTAGAAAAACCAACTAAATGTGGTCAAAAGGCACTATTGGCCAGGGCAGAAAGTTTAGAAAGAAATGAGATAAGATGAATGGAAATGGAATGTACAAGAAAGAAGTAAGAAGAGTACTGTTCTACTGGGGGAAAGGGCATGGACTGTAATCACTATCATGAAATAAACTGTGTAAGGTTGGATGGAAAATGAACTTGCTCTGTGAATTTTCAATCAAATGGCAGTAAAAAAAATTACTCTGATTGCTTATTTAGCAAAGATGCTGGAAGGGGGCAAAGACAAAGCTAGATGAACAATTTTTCAACAACATCAACATGGTAGCTTAGATTACTGTGGCAGAGACTTCACAGGACTTTGATAAAGCAAATTTAGTTAGTTCACTCTTCCTCAGCCATACTCTTCCCTCTGAATATACTAAATTATGACATTTAGAAAATGGACAGTTTTCTTGAGCTTCTTTATATATGAGATAGAAGATACACTTAAAACATTCAAGACTTAATTACTAGATAATAATGATTTAATGATAAACAGGCTTCTAAAAAGTGTTATTTTCCCAAATCCAAATTACGATTATGGCTTCTGGTAAAACAAGATTTCTAAATCCTATTGTTCTGACTCTTCTCCCCTCCTTTATGGCTATTTTCTGGTGACAGACTAAACCCACAGGGAGTTTATTCTTTATAAGACTGCAGGGTAACAATCCTTTAATAGCACACAGAGAGCATTAAAATCACAAGACTAACAGAAAAAAAGAAAACCAAAACAATGCAAACTCACACCCTGGAAGAAAAAGAAAACTATAAACAGAACAATTCCGAGTTCCTCGTTAGAGGAGCATCTTCCATTCACCCCCCACAAAGTAATCACCGTTTCATTGGCCGTGTGTTCATCTTCTGCTTGTTATAAAGCAGTCTGTTTGTAGTGCAGGCTACGGACACAGAAGGGTCAAGACACAGTGGTTCAGCCGTTGCCAAGATCAGCTGGCTCTCAAGTAAAAGTTTGTCTTCCTAAAATGTGTTAAAAGGATATTAAAGCCAGACTGAAAGGTTTCAATTATGAACACACACATATAACTTCTAGTAATAGTCCTTACAACTCTGCTAAGGAAAATAGTAAATTATTGCTCAAATTCTTACTTCTAGCATACTTTAAAAAACTCTCATAGTATAAAAATAAGCTTCTAGTAAAAATTCCATTTGGGCAGCACCTAAAAATGGTCAAGAGTTAAGAGTGTCCATTCATGAATTACATACTTATTTAGCTCTTCCTGTGTTTTCTGTTCCCCAAGTTATGGATAAAGCAATGAAGAAAACGGGTAACAATCCTTTCCTCACAAAGCTCCCAGGGTCAGAAAGATCATATAATTTTCTCAGTAACTGAGAAATAATGGTCTCATTCTACAATCAGTTTAATTTTGTTATAAAATTAAGACAGACTATGTCAACACTATGTAACTTTGATATACTTAATTACAAAGGGTAAGCAAGATTTGTTTTTATTCTGTAACTTAATGTTAAATGTAACTGTTGAATATTTTAGTAACTGTAATTTTATTTTTAAGCAAATGTATTTTCAGTGAAAGCTTACACAAAGTTTAGTTTCCATTCAATAATTTATATATTTCTGTTCTGATCATTTATAACTAAATTCTAAAAGTCAAATGAATCAATTAATAGTATTTCTGAGTAAAAGTCTTTCAAAAGAAAAACAGCCCCCTTTAACAGTTTTACTCAATAGATTTTATTCAATTCTATGGAAAATTTAAATGTATACACAAAAGTAGCAGGATAACACCCTAACACACCCCCCTGACCCCCATTTGACTGAACTGCTGCTATAGGAACATTTCTGGTTGTCCTTTTGCTGGATTAAGTTAAAGTATGTCTTAAATAGTACTTTATCTGGAAATACTTTGGTGCAAATTATAAGTTAATAAAATAATCTAATGTCTAGCTAGCCTAGATAAAAAATTTTCTCCCCAGTATCTTAAAAGTGTAGTTTTAACAGTTCTGCTTAAATTAAAATTCAAATAGTTTCCACACTTCATGTAGTTTTTCCTCTCTCAAGTATCTTCTCATTGTGTGACAGTCACTTCTTCCCCACCTCTCCTTTACCCTGTCAATAATTTGTCGATTCATTCAATGTGGCACCACTTAAATGGGTCTTTTATTCCTCAGATTCCCTGTAAGTAGTCAGTTAGATTAGTTGTTGTATACCATCAGGTCTGAACTGACCCATCGTTGACCTTCAGGTGGGTTTTCAGAGGCAGTTAATCACATGAGAGAAGACTGTCCATCCTTCTCCCACAGAGCAGCTCATGGGATTTGAACCATGGGCCTTTAGGACTGTAGCACAGCTTCTTGCCCCTAGGCCACCAAGGCTCCCCCAGTTAGATTTAGAGACTTCATTTAATCCAGGTGGTTTATTTTTTTTTAAAGACAAGAATTCTTCACAGATATCTTTATAGGTATGCTTCCTAATGCATCACCTGCAGGGGGCAAATGATCCCACTTTGGATTAGTCACCTGATGCTGACATTACAAAATATTCCCTGGGAGATTGTTTCCCATGAATTCTCATCCCATGATTTTACACTGATAAATGATTCCTCTATTTAATTAAAGTACCATTGATAATTTCATACTAAGATTATGAACTCCCTTGCAGCAATTAATGGAAATTTTTCCTAAAGAACTATTTGTCAATTGTCTTTTGTATTTTACACTATGATAAAATACAAATAAACTTCCACATTGGGCAGATCAGACCAGCCTATTTCACTGAGACTGAAGTTTCCTGAGGGTTTACTGCTAAGCAGGAAGAGATCTATGGCTTCTAAAGAGCATAAAAGAATTCCCAGGTCATTTTTCACTAAAGGTGTTAAGATGTTTACAGATGAATACAAATATGAGCCTAATGTATTTTTTTAAAAAAACCTTAGTGTGCTTTGAGTCAAAGTTTAGAGCAACTAGCTTCCATCCATCCATTTATACAGATTATAGTTTTCTCACTTTAACAGCAGTGTTACTATTTCTTGTCTGTTAAGATTCATTCTTTTTCCTAGGCCTTTGCTGCTTTCTGAGATTCCTCCCTACGAAATTGCTGCTCTAGATCCTGTACCTTACTGTTCTTAGCAAAGATTATGTGACTCACTGAGTAAGTTTAGTTTCACCAAAGATCTTCTGACTAACATAATGGTGATTACGGCATCATATGTTTTTGGCAGTTTGATATTAAATAAAAAGAACAAACCTGGGTCCATTTATGGTTATCACTTGTTATTGAATGTACATCACAGATTAAAGTCTAGAAAAATTAAAAGATTTAACAGTACATTAATGTTACAGGCACGCAAATACATGAAAATAGTTAATAAATAAAACTGCAATTGAAATCTAGAACAATCCTTCTTCTTGGTTCAACATGTCTCACCTGCATTGTCGGGCGTAAAAGAATATGTCTACTTTGGTAACCAGGAGATTTCATGTTACCAGACTGCCTGTAGTCACGTATTTCTGCTATGACACATCCACAATGGAAAATATTAACCTGTTTTGAGTGGAAAAAAAATGGTTGTAAATACCATTTTTTTCAAAGCTCAAGTAAGAGGATTTGGGTAAATTAGTTCAGATCCTTTATACTCTAGTATTGATGGCTATCTATACACTCTCCAATGTATCTGCTCCACTAGATGGGCCGACACAGTGACCACCATGACGGGCTTGAGCATGACAAAGACCAGAGGACAGAACAGGATAAGGCAAGGCCCGGATCCGCTGCTCACAGGGCTGTTAGAAGTTACGGTCAACTTGACGTCAGCAATACCAACAAAAACATCTGCCTGATAAACCTGCTGCTGCATAAATCAGCTAAGAGAAAATCTGTTTACTAGTATGTCTCCATTTAGTATATATATGCTGCCAAAGGTGAGTCTTAAGTCAAAATTTAAAAATACAGAATGATTTCTATTTCTGCAAGTGTTAAGCACATTATTAAATGCGACATCTCACTATAACTGCTGTTCTAAAATTTATTGGCTCCTGGTTATACTTTACCAACTTCAAAATTGTTAGGCAGCTTGCCACTGTTAATAGTATTTTGTCAGTCAACCTTAATAGAATTTCAGCTTTTGTATTTAACATCTATACAGCCTCTAATAAATTTTCCAAAGGAAAATTATTTTAGTAAAAGGAGAGGGAACTCTGGTGGCCTAGTGGTTAAAGCGTTGAGTTAACAACCCAAAGGCAGGTGGTTCAAATCCTGCTGCTAATAAGAGCAAGATGGGCAACTTCCTCTTGTGCAATAGACAGCCTCTAGAGAATTGCCAGAAGGTCGGCTTTGAGTTGGTTCCTACTCGAAAGCAGTGAGTTGTTTTTGTTTGTTGACTAAGAGGCAAACTAAAACCATCAAAAAAACCCCCAAACAAACCCCTAAACTCCCTGACTCACAATGACCCTCTATCATGTTTCTGAGTCTGCAAAATTCAGTAACAGAATATTGCTCATCTTTTTCCTGCAGCGCTGCTGGGGGATTTGAACCACTAGAGATGCAGACGGGAGCACAACATGCTGTGGAATACTTTACCAGAGCTCCTGAAGAAAAGGAAAAGTAATTCTACAAGTTGAAATAATAACCTTCCATTAGTTTTAGTACTTTCCCAAGTGAGCCCTGGTGGTAAAAGGGTTGAGTGCTCAGCTCTTAACAGAAAGGTTAACAGTTTAAAACAACCTGTCACACCCTGGGAGAAATATGTGACAATGTGTTTCCATAAAGACTGAAGTCTTGGGTACCCTGGAGGGGGCAATTCTACTGTCCTCTAGGATTGTCTTCTAGATCTGGAATCAACTTGACAGCAATAAGGTTTACATCTCCTTCTTAAATTCAAAAGCCTTATTGTCCATGCAGTAACAATTACCAGTCATTTACAGTATAGTTTTTCCACCTACTCAGAACTTATAGTAGCTACTGTTACCTCCGTGTTATTACTAATTCTTTTTTTCCCTTAATTTAAATTATTTATTTTTAATTTGGTGTACTGTTGAACTGGATCCATCTGGCACTGGAGGAGACTGCCCCTCCTTCTCCAGGAGAGCATCTGGTGGATTCGAACAGTGCACTTTCAGGATTGCAGTGCAGTTATTACTAATTCTTATAGTCACTCTTTTAAACAAGTATTTATCCAAGAAGTTTCAGGATAGAGTGGGTAAGACACTAGTTGTTGGTGAGAGAATGAATATAGGCAATAAACAAGTAAGCAAACAATTATACTTTTATATAGTGATGAATGCTATTCATCAAAATAAAATGGGAGATGATTAAACTTAGATTGGGTACTTAGATAAGAGCTTCTCTAAAGAGACAATTCAGATGAGACCTGAATCATAAGAAAAGGACTGATCATTTCGGGAAGAAATAGGAGGTGAGATTCTAGAGATGGAATAAGCTTGGTGTGTTTTAGAATGGAGAGAAGGCGCAGATGAATTAGGAGATGAGGACAGACAGAAAGGGAGAGGTTTGGTGCACTGAGGATGCAAAGCAGGAAATTCTGGCTGTCCCTACTGAACTGATTTGGAGAGCCCCACATACTCTGGGCATGCTGCTACGAAGGGCCTATTCCTTAGAGAGGGATATCATGCTCAGAAAGGTAGCGTGATGGTGAAGAAAAAGACCCTCAACCAGGTGGACTGACACAGTGACTGTAGCGATGACACAGGATAGGATGGGGTTCCTATCTGTTGTTCAGAGGGTGGCTATGATTCATACTAGGCTCACTGGTACTTAAAAACACCAAGAATGAAAACCAGTAGGTCAGAAAGATATTGATGGAATTGGAACATGTATTTTTGAAGACAGAGCTGACATCTGTTGACAGACTGATAGGGAAGGTGAGGCACAGAGACAAATTAAGAATGAGGCTAGGTTTTTAACTCTAGTAATTAAATAATGTCTATAGTAAAGAGTCTATAGTAAAGTCTATAGTAAAGTTAAAAAGTTCAAATTTTGCCATGTTAAATTTGTGGAACCTATCAAACCAAGTACTTACGGTCAAAATGTTGGCACAAATTAATTTGTTGTTGAAAAAGACACTACAGAATATTTGTGCTCTGTACACAGTAGAAGGGAGATCTGTTGCCTAGTGAGTAAGGAGTTATGCTGAGAGAAAAAGACAAAATATGGAGTAGAAAGAAAAAAAAAACCACAAATAGGTAAAAGTAGGTTATTGTCTGCAGTCATGGATGAAGGGGATGCTATAATAGTCCAAGTTGGGCTGTTAATCAAAAGGTCAGGAGTTCAAACTCAACAGCTGTTCAAAAGAAGGATGGGACTGCTATTGTAAAGATTTACAGCCTTGGGAATCTTATGGGGCAGTTCTACCCTGTCCTAGAGGCTCTCTACGCTTGGAATCAACTTGACAAAGTGAAGTGAAGAAGTGCTTTGAGAGCAGTGTGTGCCGTTCATTTTTCACAGGAAGGCTGGCAGAAGGTGTGGACAGTGGTAAGGGGAATCTGGTGAGGACGGAAGTTCAATGTGACTTATCATCCTTGGTCAAGTACATAGTAGTGTGGAGGCCAACCAAGAGAGCAAGAAGCAATGACAGCAGGAAAAAGAAGTGATTACTTAGGCTGGATATAAAGGACAATACAGATATAAAGCGCTAATTCCTGGTGTCCAACTAAAAGGCTATCCCTTCACATAAAGCTGAAGTAATTTTTGATTACAGTTATAAGGAGACACTGACTGATATAGCAGTTTTAGACCAACCAATTAAATCTGTGTAACACAATCTAAAGACTCCACGCTCCACAACTGATCTATCTCCACATAGTTATGTCTTATGTTTCAGCTCATATTTTAAACACTATTGTGAACACTAGTTAAGAATAAATATGACTTATTACAAAACACCTCCTATTTGACAAATGCAGAGCCATTTTAGGGAGAAAAGTTTCGTACCTGAGATTTTTCCAGGAGATCAACCAAAATAGGAGGTAATTCTTCTGCATCCAAATATTCAAGCAATTCCCCTTCTTCGTAAGGCAATCGAATGGTCTCAGAATCTTAAATTAAAAAACTGTTTAAGACTCCACCACAAACAAACCCAGAATTTCCTAAAATAATTACACTCACAGAAAAACCCAATATTCTGAAATGAAAAACCATAAAAAAAAGACACCAACCCAAAACAAAGAGTTTCCTGTCTTTCATATCTTTTTCTTATATGCTCACTTTTTCTATGAAGAGACTTGCCAGATTATATAAAATGTTAGACTAGAAAGGAGAAGAAAGCATAATGCATGTTGACGGACAAGAAACCATCTGGGAAAAGTAAAACTAGCAGAACACAGCTCAAATCCTTGCCTGCAGAACCATAATCAAAGCCACACAATTCCAACATGAGAGGAGGTGGAAATGAAGAGTGCTGATTCGACAAGTCATCTGAAAATATAACTACTTGTAGAATAAAATCCTCTAGTGGCACATTTTATAATTACTAATACAGAGGTGGGGAAGAATCTTAACTAGGTGAGTTCCTTGTAGAATCCCCAACATTAGCATAACCATATAAAAATTCCAGCTTTCTTGAATAAAATCCTGGCACGCTGGTGGCACACGGCTAATCACACCACTTGTGAAGTCTACACCCATGTTGTACAAGGGTCTCCTCCAATTATGCTTCAATTTTAAACTCTCTGAGAGGGCTGTGCCTCTACTCCTATGTTGCGTAAGGGTCAACTATGTTTAAAGTGGCTACCATATTCACATTCAAACATAATTTTTTACATAGATAAAAATGACCTGACTTCAAAACCCAGTAACCTCATTGGAATGGAGTCAGAACGACTCGCTGCCGATCCTCCAGCATGTTTTCAGAGGATGTAAACGGCAAATCAGGAGATGGCTCATCGTTCTCCTGAGGGCCAGATAGGAGATTTTAACCATCTACCTTTGGGTCTGCAGCACAATCCCTACACCCTAGGCTATCAGAGCTCCCCAAAATACAGTAAGGCAATCATAAAATAAAAATGTAATACAAATGGCAATAGACGCAAAGGAAATGTTAGTAATCATTTAACACTGTGCCTCTTCCAATTGGACACCAAAGACTTAGCTAAATTAGATTACTTTTCAAATGCCTATTCAGGAAGAATATATGTGATCATTTCTAATATTCCAACAAAGTGTATCATAAAGCAGACAAACTACAATCAAAGTTCTTTTTCCAAATCAATACTGATCTGATAGACCATCTATTTAGCAAATTATCCCTTCTTACCTGATCCATTTTTCCCCCTGAGCATCAGAGAATATCCCTCATTTCCTGGGTATAGGTTGACCACAAGACATGACAACGTCTCTTGCATAACAAGC